CAGCCTGGGCGATAAAGTGAGACTCCAACTAAAAAAAAAAAAATTTTTTTTAATGGAACGTGTGCATGGGTAGGTGTGAATTTATATGTAGTCATGCATTGCTTAACAATGGGGGTACATTCTGAGAAATGCAAAGTCAGGTGATTTCATCATCACGTGAACATCATAAAGTGTACTTATACAAACCTAGATGGTGTATCCTATTACACACCTAGGCTATGTAAATATAGCCTATTAGTCCTATGCTACAAACCTGTACAGCATGTTACTATACTCAATACTGTAGGCAATTGTAACATAATTGATAACTTGTGTATCTAAACATAGAAAAGGTATGGTAAAAATACAGTATAAATGATACTACCCTAATAGGATACTTACCATGAATGAAGCTTACAAGACTGGAAATTGCACTGGATGAGTCAGTGAGTGACTAGTGAGTGGATGGGAAGGCCTAGCACATTGCTATATATATACTGCTGTAGACTTTATAAACACTTTATTCTTAGATTGCATTACATTTATAAAAAACATTTTTAATTTTTCAAATAATAAACCTTAGCCTACGATAACTTTTTTATTATATAAAACTTTAACCAGGCTTGTTGGCTCAGCCTGTAATCCCGTGCCTTTGGGAGGCTGAGGTGAGTGGATTGCTTGAGTCCGCGGGTTCGAGACCCACCTGAGCAGCGAGACCTCATCTCTACAATAAATCAAAAAATCAGCCGGGCGTGGTAGCGCATTCCTGTAATTCTGGCTACTTGGAAGGCTGAGGCGGAAGGATCGCCGGAGCCCAGCAGGTCGGGGCTGCGGTGGCCGGGAGCGGCCACTGCACTCCAGTCTGGGTGACAGAGTGAGACTCCAACTCAAAAAAATAATAATAATAATAATAATTTTTTTTTAATTGAATTAGAGTCTCTGTTGCCCAGGCTAGAGTGCGGTAGCACGCTCACGGCCATCACAGCCTTGACCTGCTAAGCTCAGGCAATCCTTCTACCACGCCCAGCTAATTTTTTGATTTATTGTAGAGACGAGGCCATGTCAAGTTCCCCAGGCTGGTCTCAAACCCCTGGGCTCAGGTAATCCTCTTGCCTCCACCTCCCAAAGGGCTGGGATTACAGGCATGAGCCACTGTACCCGGCTGACATTTTAATTTTTTAAAAAACTTTTTGACTCTTAAAGTAATATTTAGCTTAAAACACAAACACATTGTACAGCTGTACAAAATATGTCTTTATAAGCTTTTCTCTATTTTCAAATTTTTTCTTTTTTTGGGGGTTTACTTTTTAATTTAAAGCTAAGATGCAAACACACACATTAGCCTAGGCCTGTACAGGTCAGGAGCATCCCTACTACTGTCTCCCACTTCTAAATCTTGTCCCTCTGGAAGGTCTTTAGGGGCAGTAACAGGCAGGGAGTTGTCATCGCCTATGTTAACAATGCCTCTGGAATACCTTCTGAAAGACCTACCTGAGGCTGTTTTACACCTAACTTTTTTTGTAAGTAGATGGAGTACACTCTAAAATAAGGATAAAAATAATAGTATAGTAAGTTTGTAAACCAGTAACATGGTCATTTATTTTCATTTTTAAATACAGGATGAACATTCCAAGTCTGAAAAATCTGAAATTTGACATGTTCCAATGAGTATATTTGCTCCATATAATACAAATTTCAAAAATCTGAAATCCAAAACGCTTCTTCCATTTTCTTTCAGATAAGAGATACTCAACCTATATTATGTACTGTATATAATAGTCACATAATACTGTATGTACTGTACAGTGTGCATACACCACGTACAATACTGTATACAACACTGTGCTGTCTTGTATATAATACTGTACTGTACTTATACTTTTATATGACTAGCAACACGGTTTGTTTATACCAGCATCACCACAAACACGTGTGATTTGTTGTGCTGTGGACATTATGATCCCTACAAAGTCACCAGATGATAGGAATTTTTTAGATCCATTATAATCTTATAGATGGTCTGTTGTTGACAAAAATGTTATATGGTGCTTAACTGTACACTTGTGTAGTATGTCTGTCTTCCTCTTTCCCTACCTACTTTCCATCCACAAGTAAAAGAAAGTGAAACCTTTTTTGTAAAGCCTTCTTTTCCTCTTCCACATAAACCAAGGAGTTACTGCTTCTTTGCTCTCTTGGAACTTTTATATGTGCTGTATAGCAGTTGTGTGCATGTATGTCACTTAGTGAAACCATGAATTCCTTGAAAGTAGGCATGTGTCTTATTCCTCTTTAAACCTCCAATACCTGACCTTGAATATAGTAGATGCTTAGTAAATGTTAGTGAATGCATGGGTGAGTGAGTAAGTGAATGAAGGAATTAGAGGCCAGCTTGGGAAAAGGGATCCCTTATTGATGGCCACGTTGTATTATTCATAGGTGTCTCTTAAAATTTTTTTTTTTTTTTGTGAGATTGAGATTGATTATCGTATATCAGAATGGGTCATGGAGGAAATGAAAGGTTTCTTCCTCCTGCCAAGATTCTCTGTTAGATAGCTGTTCTTTAGGGAATTTTTATTGTGTACCTTAAAACTGGTTTTCCTTATTTCTTGTTATTTAGCTGGTCGAGCTAAGAAACGTTAAGGTATCTGTTTGAAGGATCCTTAAAAGATGGTTTCTGACCCCTTTCTCTCTCAATATTTTCAGCAGATATGAATGTTTCCTTTTGCCAGACCTTGCTAGGCCTTGAGGATACAATAGTGAACAAAACAAAGTTCCTGTCTTCACGGAGCTTATAGATAGGCAATAAACAAACATATGTCAAGTATTGATAAGTGCTGTGATTAAATTATAGTAAGAGGGTAAAAAGTCATGCCTAAATGGTTTTATCATTCACATCTTCACCAAAAAAAGCATGCCATCATAGCATGATCCCAATACTTAAGAAAAAAATATCAGGAAAAAAGGCTATTGAAGAATTATGCTAAAATATTGGTAAGGGTTATTTCTGATATTGATATTGATATTTATGGATGATTTTTAAATTATGTTTTTATATATTTTTCTGAAGTGTTTCTTACCTTTATTATTGGGGAGGAGGAGGTGCTAATGAGGTCACATTTGCATTTAAAACCTGGTTCTGCTGGCTCATAGCTGTGTATATCAAGAAGAGGAAAGCTACCAGCATTGTTTCTCTGCAAGTATTTCTGGGACTCCTTCCCAGTAGGTGTCTTACATGTCATCTGAACAAATTCAGTTCTGCGATTCTTTCCGGTTTCTGGACAGGCCTCTGCTTCATTCATATTAATCACAGTCAACACCTGAGAAAGTCCTTGCCAAAGTCTCTTTTTTTTTTTTTTTTGTCAAAGTTGTACTTTGTCGTACAGGTTGAGTACAGTGGCACACATGACAGCCTTGACATCCTGGGCTCAGGAGATCCTTCTACCTCAGCCTCCTGAGTAGCTAGTACTACAGGTACATGTCACTACACATAGTTAATTTTTTCTTTTTTTGTAGAGACAAGGTTTTGCTATGTTGACCAGGCTGGTCTTGAACTCCTGGGCTCAAGCAGTCCTCCTGCCTCATCCCCTCAAAGTGTTGGGATTACAGGTGCGAGCCTACGCCCAGCTTTGCCAAAGTCTTAATTCCCCAATTTGGGCAAAAGTTATTGCCATTCATCTAAGGTACATATTCTTCATATAGAAATTATTTTTGTTGTTGTTGTTATAACAAGATGTTTTAGGAAAGAAAGAGGCAAAACAAAACAAAAAAAAGAAATTTTGTGTTTTTTATTAATTTCATTCACAGTATACACTTCACAGTATGAGTCAAACCTGACCTAACTGGGTGCTATTGCACACATACTGTAACTTCCTATAAAGGCTCTGGAATAAGGGCAGAAAAGAAGGCAGGAAGCAAAATTTTAAGTCCCTCCTATAAAATGAGTTCAACTCCTTTTCTCTTGTCACCAATTAGGAGAGCATCTTCACCCTGCTCAGACGGTACCTCAGCTGCTACCTCAGCTGCTACAGCATCAGCAATAACAGACCAGGGAAAGAGAAAGAAGGGAAAGCCTGAAACAGTCCCCAGCTAGGGCCCAGACTAGGAACTTGGCAGATATGTGATAATGGAAAAGAGTCTTTTACAGCTTAAGCTGTTGCATTTCCTGTAACTCTGGACTTCTCTATATCCTATTTGGGTTCAGAGTTGCTGGTGTATTCAGAGGTAGAAACAACATCTCATGCCTGTGGAACATTGGTTAAGTCATGCTTTTGTAGCTACTGTTCCTTCTGCCCTGGTAGCCCAGTTTCTCTTCCCACGTCCATCTACTTGGCAGACCCCATTTCCTATTCAAAAGTCCAGTATAAGACTATTTCGTTGTTGCCTGTTCACTTGTCTTTCACTAGACTTTTCAATAAACTGTATCTTCTTATTTTCTCAAAATTTGTGTATGTACAACAAATGTTTTTGACTGTTCATTCTTCTTTGGATAAGACTTATTCCCTGTTTTCAAGGATCATACTGTCTAATAAGTGTCATTATCAATCCCAGATAACCATGATACAACCTAGAATGCAGTTCCACTGAGAAGAAAGAAATCCTTTTTTGCTGTGGGAATTAGCAACACTTAGGTTACTTCAGGCTTTGTGGATGAGGGGGCATTTGAAATGGGCCTTGAAGGATGAATGTGCAGTGTAACATTGATTTTATTAGCGTTTTGTACTTCTTGATGTCTTTATTAGAATAATTTAAGTACATAGGAACTGTATTATTTGGCATGCATTTCAGAGACTTAAACACTTTAAGTTTCACTTGTTTTTTATCTTGAATCATTCATCATTTGATTTATACAAAGGAATATATCTTGTGGGGTTTTAGTGTACTTTCTGCCTTTGTGGAAATCAGTCATAAATTCAGGAATTAATATTTGAGATATTTGTGTATCTGAATGTTACAGACCAAAAAAGGACATGAAATGTGATGTCTTTCTGTCCTGTTGCATGGGTTTTCTTTATTTCTTTTAGCCACAGACCCCTTTGCTTCTGTTTTCGGAAATGAATCATTTGGAGATGGATTTGCTGACTTCAGCACATTGTCAAAGGTAATCACAAAAACTAATGGGAAGGAAAAAATATACTGTGTTTCCACCAAAGGAGGTGGAATCCTCTGTTCAATTACATAACCCTCTCACAAAGTTGGAACTTGATTTTTATAAGTCAAGTCACAGAAAATGTTGATTTCAGATAGAAATGAAAGATAAGATGTGGTTAAAGTAGACATGTTTCTATATATAGATATGTTGATGGTATAGGTAATTATAATTTTCTGTTGACAGGTTTGCTCAACAATTTTATTTTTAGAGTCTTCTTTTTAGCATGTTTCTTCCAGTTGAATTACATTTTTCCCCTATTGGTTGTCTGGGTCAGTAACTATAAAATCTGGGCATTTATTCTATCTTGTCTGTATTGATTACTTGATTCTGTGTTCTGAGATTATTAGAGTCAGTATTGAGATAATTAATACACAAAGCCCAGCATAATGTTCACTACTTATTTTCCAGTGTAGCTCTAGAGACAGATTAGGGTGTATGTCAAAATGTCCATAACATTGGTTCTCAAATGAGGGTTATTTTGCCCCCAAAGGAACATCTGGCAATGTCTAGAGATGTTTTTGGTGTTCACAACTGGGTGGGGGATGTTACTCACATCTAGTGGATAGAGGTCAGGGATGCTGTTAAACATCTACAAGCCAGCCGGGTGGGGTGGCTTATGCCTCAGCACTTTGGGAGGCAGAGGCAAGAGGATTGCCTGAGCTCGGGGGTTCAAGACCAGCCTGGACAACTTGGCAAGACCTCGTCTCTACAATATATCAAAAAAATTAGCTGGGCCTGGTGGCACATGCTTGGCCGTGTATAAACATTTTTTTTTTTTAAACAAAGGTCAGCAATGAGGATCCTTTTAGTTCAACTACATCGAGCTCTGTCAGCAGTGTGGTCACTACAAAAATTGCGTTTGAGGACTCATCAGTAAAAAGTGAAGATGTACCCCCAGCACTGCCACCAAAGATTGGAACTCCAACAAGACCCTGCCCACCACCACCTGGTATGAGAGTTGGTACCTTTCCTCAGTCAACTCAATCAAGATGCCTTTTCTTTTTCTGAGTAGTTTTGTGTGGACCATATTCATGTATTTTTATATGAAAGGCCTTAAACAAAACAAGCCAAACTTATGGCAGAAGCTTGCTGCTGTCTTTTGTTCTGACCTCAATACAGAATTACCCTCATGTACCTTAGAGGCCAACATTCATTTATAATTTTTAGGAACTGTCTTTCTGTCAAGAGTTTTTTTTTTTTTTCTTAATCATTTCAGAGAGGCAATAAATGGAAAAAGGAAAGTGTCGATAAAACCTCTTGCTTTTTGGAAGCTCATTGATTATCATTTGAACAGCAGTTTCCTGCACTTTGGTGTTTTAATTATAATTTCTATAAAAGATGATTAATTCCAAGTCCTCTTCATTTTCTGCAAGATGTAAAGTCTTCCTTAATCCTTTAATTTGAGAATATATGGCCTCTTTGATATCCAGAATTCAACAATACAGTGGTTTACAGAGCATTGCTTTTCTTGAAGGAAAATAGGATTCTAACTCACTTAAAAGACTTCTTTATTTTATAATAGTGATTTTTTGGGGGGTGCCAGATCAAATTCTTAATAGCTTTATTTTTATTTGTTTGGTATGTGTTTATGTGTATGTTTAGTACTATATAATGGAAGAATTTGTTTTGTTTTTAATGAAGATAATAAATTTCAGAATGAGTGACTTAAAAGATGATTCCCTGAGCAGTTGTAGTGCTGTTAGGGTGTTATGTGAGAAAACATTTGGTTCATTTTTGAAAAATCAATATTGTTAATTGGGAAATTTTTCTTTTTTTGAGTCGGAGTCTCACTCTGTCCCCCAGACTAGAGTGCAGTGGCCGCTCCCAGCCACCACAGCCTCGACCTGCTGGGCTCCAGCGATACTTCCGCCTCAGCCTTCCCAGTAGCTGGAACTACAGGCATGCGCTACCACGCCCGGCTAATTGTTTGATTTATTGTAGAGATGAGGTCTCACTGCCCAGGCGGGTCTCGAACCTGCAGGCTCAGGCAATCCACTCACCTCAGCCTCCTAAAGGCGCAGGATTACAGACTGAGCCACAAAGCCCGGCTCTGGTATTTCTTAGGTAATTTTTTTCTTCTTTGACTTAAAGGATTGCATATGCAATTGTTAATATTCAGTTATCTGTTGATAAATCAGGTAAATGAGCTAAATGATTTCTGTCTTGTAAGGAGAAGTAGTCTACATCCTTTATTGCTAAAGGTACGATTGTTAGAATTTTTTTTAATAGTTGTTCATGTGCACATTGAATTTTTTCACCTGCATGATGCCAATAGTGAGGCTATTTTTTAAGTCTTCAGTAAAATAGTATACTAATGCCTTTATTAAATCTAAAAATCTTTAGCAAAGTGAGTGTATCATCATATAAAGATCAAGGGAAAAAAACAGTGGTTTGTTGGAAAGAGCACTGGCCTGGGAGCCTAGAGATCTGGGTTCTAATTCTGGATATTCCCTCACTACCTCTGTAATCTTTGTTTGTTTGGTGTTGGAATCTCATTCTGTTGCCCAGGCTGGAGTGCAGTGGCACAATCATGGCTACTGCACCTTCAACCTGCTGGGCTCAGGTGATCCTTCTGCCTCAACCTTGCACCATGCTGGCTAATTTTTTTATTTACTGTAGAGATGAGGTCATGCCATGTTGCCCAGGCTGGTCTCAAATCCCTGGGCTCTGACAGTCCACTCGCCTTGGCTAGGATTATAGGCATGAACCACTGTGCCCAGTCTTGTAATCTTAAGTGTATAATTTCTTATATCTGTGCCTCAACTGCCTCAGATGGTGGCAGTAATTCTAATTTTGCCTACCTTCACAGCATTATTGGGAGGATCCATTGAGATATGAGATATGAGCATCTTTGGTAAACAGCTACAGTGATGGGCTCTGATATGATTGTTACTACCAGCTTAATGCATTTTAGAAAAAAAAATCCTTGAAGATATTTTAACCTCTATTCTTATTATATTTTCTTCTAAGTTTAAATAAGACTTTAGAATTAGAAAACTTGTTTCCAGTCTGACCAGTGTAGTGAGATCCCATCTCTACCAAAAATTTAGAAATTAGCTGTGAGGAGTGATACATACCTGTAGTCCCAACTACTCAGGAGCTAAGACAGGAAGCTCACTTGTGACGAGGAGTTCAAGGCTTCGGTGAGCTATGATCACACCACTGCACTCCAGCCGGGGCAACAAAGTGAGATGCTGTCTCCAAAAAAATAAAACAAAATTAGAGAACTTGTTTTTGAAAATGGTAATGGAGCTCATCATGGTGACTCATGCCTGTAATCCCAACATTTTGGGAGACTGAGGTGGGAGAATCGCCTGAGACCAGGAGTTCTAGACCAGTCTGGGCAACATAGTGAGATCTCATCTCTATAAAAAATACAAAAACTAGCTGGGTGTAGTGGCATGTCCCTGTAGTCCCAGCTACTCTGGAGGCTGAGGCTGAAGGATCTCTTGACCCCAGGTAGTCAAGGCTGCCACTGCACTCCAGCCTGGGTTGACAAAGTGAGACCCTGTCTCAAAAAAAAGAAAATGGTAATGAATCTGTGAGTGAATAACAACTGAATTCTGTTGTTTGGTCAAAGGTTAGTTTATTTTGACCACAAAGATTGAGACCCTGGGTTGCAAAACATCATTTATACTACATTTGAAATATTGTAATGACAATTAGCCAGGCATGGTGGTACACATCTGTAGTTCCAGTTACTCAGGAGGCTGAGTCAGAAGGATCACTTGATCCTAGGAGTTCAAGCCTGTACTCCAGTCTGAGCAACAGAGTGAGAGTGAGACCCCAACTCAAAAAAAAAAAAAAAAGAAGAAAAATATTGTAATGGCAAAAAGCAAGCAGGGTTTTTACTGAGTTAATTTTTAATTTTATGCTCCTGGGTATAGATCCAGAGAAGAATGTTGCCATTTTTCAAAGGCCATCTACCTTTACTGCCTCTAGTGGAACTGTATAAGTATCAGGCTGAGAGTTATAACAACAGAGGCCATTTCTGTCTCTATTTGTTGTTATTCTCCTGTTTAATCCATTCCTCCCTTTCTTCTTGGAAATATGCTGCTCTGGGAGATAAAAAAAGATTTAATCTCTGAACTAAAATATGATTCCTGGTCTATCCTCTCTTTTTTTATCTTTTTCTCCCATCTAGCTGCACATAGCTGGAATGTATTTGAGAGATTATATGTGGCAAATTTGAGGACAGATTATTGCTGTGGCTATCTAAGACAATATTAGAATGAGTATCCATCCTCTGCTTTTAGTTCTTTAATGCTTTCGGTATATGTGTTCTTGTGTGCTTGTGTTTGCTATATTTACCAGATGAGTTAATTGTAATAATTTTGATCCAGGGAAAAGACCCATCAACAAATTGGATTCTTCTGATCCCTTTAAACTGAATGATCCATTTCAGCCTTTCCCAGGCAAAGATAGCCCCAAAGAGAAAGATCCTGATATGTTTTGTGATCCATTTACTACTTCTACTACTACCACTACCAATAAAGAGGCTGACCCAAGCAATTTTGCTAACTTCAGTGCTGTAAGTACTGTGAATGGGCTGTTTGGGGAAACTTTTTCCAATTACAGTTTAAAGAGTTTTCAAAGGTTACTTTGGAAGTCTACCACATTTGCATCATTTTAACTAAATTTACCAACATACTAAAAAATATCTTTCATTCTTCCCCCAAGCAAAACCTTCTGTTTGATTCTGTTTTAATGGTTCTACAGTTGTTCCATTGCACAAAAGATTTTAGTAGTCTTAGTTCTTGTGATATACACAAGTTGTTTTTTAAACCCTCCTATGAGTCTTGGTATTATAAATATAGGCAAAATTCTGACAGTTATTCTTTTGCAGATGGTTATGATGATGGTGATTTAACGGACCATTAGAGAGTCATTACGTCTGCCTTAGATGAATAATACCAGTAGTGGGCTTGTATATTTGTAACAGTGCAGTGTGTGTCTCAAATAAGAGTATTGGGTATACTAAGCAAGAAGTGAACTAAATCTTTTATTTTTATTTTTTTTTTTGGAGTTGGAGTCTCACTCTGTACCGAGGCTGGAGTGCAGTGGCACGCTTACAGCCACTGCAGCCTCGACCTGCTGGGCTCAGGTGATCCTTCTGCCTTAGCCTTCCAAGTAACTGGAACTGTTACAGGTGGGCCAACCATGCCTGGCTAATTTTTTTTATTTATTGTAGAGATGAGGTCTCACCAAGTTGCCCAGACTGGTCTTAAACCCCTGGGCTCAAGCAATCGTCTTGCCTCTGCTTCCCAAAGTGCAGGGATTACAGGCGTGAGCCAATGTGTCTGGCCCAAATCATTTTTTTCAAAAAGCATTTTGAAGACTTTGGACGTCTTTGAGAACTTTCAGACCCAGTCTAAATAAAATCTTGACACTGGTAATCATAAAGTATTATAAAGTTTTAATGATTTGTAGAGACCAGTCAGCAACTATTATTTGAAAGTTAGGGCCAGGGATTCTTTGAATAGAAAGTAAAACTCTTTATTTACTAAACTTATTTGGTTGCTTTTTAAAAATGTAAATGTCAGTTTTAGGAAATAAATTATTATCAAGATCTAAACAATCTTTAATTATATGCTGGGCTCTAATTCACTTGCTTCCTGTGCTTTTTACTCTGCATTCTCAGAGCTGACTGAAATAGGAAGGCCATTGAAAATGATAGGAGGGTGCTATGATAACAGCATAAGAGGAGCCTATGTAAGGTCACAGAAATGGGGCAGTCTGCCATGGAGATGTCACTCTGGAGGGACACAAAGCAATGGCATGTATTCTATCATTATTCAAATAAAAACAGGTTATTTTATTTTTTAATAGAATTCTTAGAGTAGGTAACAAAGTTTAATTTTCTTAGATTTTTTTTCCAGGCAAAATGACCTTCGTTATCACTGCCCATTCTATCACTGACATTCTTCCACTTACCATGTTATCTCTTTGGAATGATTTTGGAAGTAGGAAGTCTTGTGGCCAGGTGACTCTGGCCAGCCTGTCTAATGTTTCCCTCCTCAGGGTTGTAGCATTGGACCATTCAACCGGTTGCTTTTTCCCTGTAACTGTTTCTAGTTAGAAAGGAGGGAGGCAAGAATCTGCATACAACTAAGGCAGCTTTTGGATCTGTACTGTAAGTTCCAGTGGCCTCTCCTGAATGTATAGGAGCAAAATAGGGATATATATTTTGAATATTGTAAAGATGGAGTATCAGAGTTATGTTAACTTTCATTAGATGAAATTTGATTTGACATAAGCAGAAAATCAAGAATTGGCCTTCTTAGGTGATCATAATTCTCATAGTATAAAACAACCCTTTGGCAATCTGTGGCATTTAATATCTTAAATATGGTTTTAGCAGGTCAAAACCTGGTTGGAGCTGGGCCTGGTGGTGCTCACCTGTAATCCCAGCAGGTGAGGTGGAAGGATTGCTTGAGTTGGAGACTAGCCTGGGCAACATAGTTTTTTCATCTGCAAAAAATGTAAAGGAAAATTAGCCAGGTGTGGTGGTGTGTGCCTGTAGTCCTAGCTACTCGAGAGGCTGAGATGGGAGAATTACTTGAGCCTAGGAGTTTGAAGCTGCATTTTTTCACCACTGTGCTCCAGCCTGTCTGAGCAAGAGACCGTCTCAAACAAAAACAAAAACACCTGACTGGAATGAGACTTGAACAATAGCCAAGGCATTTTGCTGTAGAATCTCGATATAGTATAATAAGAAGCAGCTTATAATAAGAACATCTTTCTTTTTTTATTGCAAAAGATTTGTTAAGTATTATAAATTTCTAAGTTTTGTTTAATTCTCTAGGGAAAAAAAGCTGCCATTTTCAGACAGTTTCTTTTATCCCAGTTAATCCCTTTTATGGGATTCCTCTATGTGACAAGACTTTAAACCAAGTAGAACTTTTTATTTATTATTTGCCAAGGTTGCTGTTTCTCCAACCTAATGATTACCAGTGTCAAGGTTTTATTTAGTCTGGTCTGAAAGTTCTCATAGCTGACAAAATCTTCAAAATGCTTTTTTTTTTTTTTAATTTTCTCCTGGCCTCCATGTGTCAAAATCCTTTTTGAAAAAAATGGCTTGTTTCACATCATGCTTAGTATACCCAATACTCTTATATGTAGCAAAATCAGCTTTTTTTCTTTCTTTTTCTTGGCATCATAGTTTTTCTATACCTGATGGACTAGGATGAGGTAGAAAATCATTAGAGAGATTAAGTCAAAAATGATTTCTCATGGGAGGATACTTACTAAAGTTGAAGTAGTAAATGTTTTACATTAGATCAAAAAGGATTGCCCTCTTCTGTTTTTAAATTTCCTAATTCACCAAATCATTTCTACTTTTTTTTTTTTCAATAGCCTCAGGGGCTACAAATAGTTTTTGGTTACTTGGACGCATTGAAGAGTGATGAAGTCTGGGCTTTCAGTGTCCCCTCCCCTCACTTGTGTATTTCTACATTTTTAAAGTAATGTTTTTAATGTTTAGTTTGATATATTTCTATCTATAAACTGAATAATTTAAAAAATTAAACTACAGTTTAATAGCTGGTTAAAACTAAGCATGTTTTCAGAAAAAACAAATTAACAAGTAACAAGACTATTTCCAGAGTCTTTTGGGTGAAAAAATCAGTTAATTCCCTTTTGTAAAAACTGTTTCCTTCTTTTTGTTTGTTTTACTCATTCATTTATTAATTTGTTCATTCATTTGATCTTTTAAATGGCAGTATCCCTCTGAAGAAGATATGATTGAGTGGGCCAAGAGGGAAAGTGAGAGAGAGGAAGAGCAGAGGCTTGCCCGGCTGAATCAGCAAGAGCAAGAAGATTTAGAACTGGCCATTGCACTCAGCAAGTCTGAGATCTCAGAAGCATGAGGAATTCTCTTGTCCTCTTTCAACAATACAGTACTCTTCTTTCTGAATAATGAAGCTATTTACGGTGTGTATCAAAACTACCTGTGAGCATGGGAATACAAAAAGTTTGAGATTCCTGTAAATGTGACAAAATTCTAGGTGTGTGTGCTTTTTTTTTTTTTAAACTTCATTTCAGATTTGTCATTTTTTTTTCTTGTAAAAGCTATAACCCAGTCAGACAACATCGCCTAGGGCCCTCTTCTGGTGTATATTTACTGTGAGCTTTTGCCTGCCTATGCTACTTTTACTTATAAAGCTAAAGCACCCAAGAAACTTCTGCCTTCTGGAATATAGAGAAATAGTTTCACCCTGTGCTACTCTTGTTCTGTAGTTATTCTGATGATAGCCAGTGGACTTCTTAAAGTTTGCGGTGTTCCTCTCTGATTGCTTGAGGAAGGGTAAGGGAAAGAAAATCCTATTTATTTTATGATTGGTGCAAATTGGCTAGTTGAAAGAACATTTTCATATTTCCTTAAAGTAAAAGTACTGTTTAATTTGGTTTTTAGAGACAAGGAAAAATATTTTGCACAGTTTGACTCCGCTATTGAAAAAGCGATGCTTTGTTGAACCATTATAGCTTCAGATTTGCTCCTGTCCTAAATAAAAATGCTAAAGCTTCATGTGTGAAATAAATTTTTTAAAAAATTACTCTGGATTTAAAGAATTTTAGATCAACAGATACCTCTCCATATGTTTACTAATTATAAAATCAGTTCATTTTAAGTGCTAGATAATGGAGAAAATTTATTACCTAAAATAAACCCACCAGTATAAGGTAAGCAAAAATCTTAACACGGTAGCTGTTCTGCCTTTGCTGCGGCCCTGTCCTTTCTGGTTCTTCATAGCTTTATTTTTATACTTTTGCAGAAGAAATTTTAGTAAGCTAGAACTGGAAGGTACTTTAATTTTTCATATTTTTTTGTTTTCTTTAATGAAGACTCAGTTACTTGAAATGTAAAAACCTTACTGAATTCAAATGAGAAAAATAACATGTATTATGTGTTGCTTTTTGTCCATCTTTGTGGTTTAAATTAGTTTATTTACTACATGTTTTTCACCTATAAAATTGGCAAGATAGCAAAGAAAATTCTTGCTTTCTTAACTGGAAGAGAAGAGACTTGCTAAATTATCAGAACTCTTCATGTGTTAAAACACCATCTCCTATAAAACTGACCTAGCAGACAAGCTGAATTTGAAATAGATTACGAAGCAGGCTGTAACTTCTAGAGTAATCTTAATTTTTTTTAACACAAGTTAGATGACGTATTGAATACCAAGATAAAGAAAAATGCACCTAAAAACTAATTAGAGTTCTCTGGATTACCAAGTCAAGGTAGTATTGATCTATATGTATCAGAGTAACTTATTGCCTCGCCTATAATTAAATTCCAAAATATACAATTCATTTCATCTTGAAATGGTGCTTTTTTTTTTTCCTTTGTACACAATTGGACTGCTCCAATTTAAAATAAACCACTTTCTTGCACTGCTAACTTTTTCTATCTTTGTAAATAGAAACATTTCAGCATAAAAGTCATACATAAGAAGCAAGGGCTGAATCATTATAAGGCTTTAATTTTTATAAACTAATCAATTGACCTAAGGATTGACTACAAAAGTTTATTGAGAAGGTAGTGTTGAGAGTTGTGATAGATGGTTTTTTCTTTTTTTTCTTCCCCCATTACTCTTTAGAAAAAAGGTAAGTTGACTTTGAACAACTTTCTTTTGCACTGGGAAAATGAACACAATGTTTGAAATGCTTTTGAAATATTTTTTTTAATTAAAACACTCTGGAAAATATTAAATATCTGTAACTTATAAACACCAATTTTTGATGTAATAAGTGTATCCTAATCTTATGTATGTTTAACTGGAGTATATAGATTCTTATCTTTTGTTAAAATATGTATACTCAGTGGACCAATATAATATTAAAGTATGTACATATTATATAAATATATATCTATATCTTCATGCTCACTTGTGTAGGATGAATGTCTTAGAGTATTTTGTGATATTTTATGTTGTTGACTGTGGCTCCAGGGCCTGTGCTTGAAAAGGACATAGAGGTATTGCTGAGAGCTCAGTGGCACTACTTAAAACGTTTTAACCATCTTCTACATACTGGTTCAGATTTATTTAAGCTCTCATTATAGAATTTTCTCTTGCATTTCAAACTTCTAAATTGTAGCCTGTAATTATAAGAACAATAAACTTTAAGTAATAATAAAGCATACTATCCATATATCCAACTTGTAGTGGAGTTTTGCATGGTTTTCTGATTATGTCCACGCTGTGTCCAAGGGGCAGGTATATCATCAGCAGAGATTAGTGTGTGGAAAGTGTTTGGTCAGTACCTGGTATAGAATAAATGGTGTCAACTTTTGTTTTTAGTTATCATGTCCTGTTTTTATGAAAGTTGGGAAATGGATGTATATAGAGACAGTACCTGAAACGTGCATGGCTTTATATATATGTATTGTCAAATAAGGATTTGTGACATGGTCTGTTGGAAGGCAGTGTGATCTAATACAGTCATGCAGTCCTGGAACTGAATCTCTTTTCTGCCATTTTTGAGAATGTAACATAAAGATGATTAGAGGAAGTTATTTAACCTCTTTGGGTATTTTAAGTGTTATATCATAATACTTAGCTCACGAGATTTTTCTAACAGATTTAAGTTTGGCAGCTTTTTAGTATTATTTATTTTAAATAAACAACTTCAGCCATAATACTGTTAATAGGAAAGATAATTATTGGTTGTTGAATGCACATTATAAATGAAACACTCTACTATTCTATGTAAGTATTCTCATTTCTTGTTTAATCTTCATAACAGACCTAAGTAGTAGGTACTATTGTTATCCCCTGTTTTAAAAATGGAGAAACTGAGGTGCAAAAAGTTAAAATAATGTGCTTCAGGTCATCCAGCTAAAAAGTAGATAAGTCAGAAATTGAACCCTGATCTCTCTGATTCTAAACACAATGCTCCTTCCAGTTTACCATGCTTTGTTTCATTTTGTGTGAAAAAAGAAAATTTGCTAGCTGGGCTCGATGGCTCAGCCTGTAATCCCACACCTTTGGGAGGCTGAGGTGAGTGGATTGCCTGAACCCGCGGGTTCAAGACCCGCCTGGGTAGGCGAGACCTCATCTCTACAATAAATCAAAAAATTAGCCGGGCATGGTAGCGCACGCCTGTAATTCCGGCTACTCGGAAGGCTGAGGCGGAAGGATCGCTGGAGCCCAGCAGGTCGAGGCTGCGGTGGCTGGGAGCGGCCACTGCACTCCAGTCTGGGTGACAGAGTGAGACTCCAACTCTTAAAAAAAAAAAAAAAAAAAGAAAGAAAAAGAAAATTTGCTTATAGGAAATGATGTGGTAGGAACTGGACATGATAAATAAGAAAAATAAATAACATGTATTAAGCCCCAGGCATGACCCTAAGTGCTTTACATATATTAATGTATTTAATCTTTAGAATAGTAACCCTAAAAGGTATAGCTACTGTTATCATCTCCATTTTACAGGAAAGGTACCCAAACTAAGCAACAGTTATGCAACTGTAAGTGGCAGAGCTGGAATTTGAACCCAGGAGACTGGCTCAAGAGTCTTAACCACCATTCTCCTGTTAGAGGTGACAAGTCTGAGGAGAAATATCAAAAGAAAATAATCCATATAACCTCTGTTCTTAAGGATGAATGGAATAAACCTACTATGCTGCACATGGCATCTTATGGACCATTTTCCAATTCATTCTCCTGTTTAGCTCTTATGAGGGCTTAGAACAGTTTCTGACTCACGAAAGCACTCAATCATTGTTAGTCGTTAATATTACCCTAAGTGCTAATTAAATATATGGAGGAAATGGCCAGTTTTGCTTTTTTTTTTGAGTCAGAGTCTCACTCTGTCACCCAGGCTGGAGTGCAGTGGCACAATCATAGCTACCATAGCCTCGACCTGCTGGGCTCAGCACATTCTTCTGCCTCAGGCCTCCCAAGTAGCTGACACACACCACCATGCCTGGCTAATTTTTTTTGTTTACTGTAGAGACAAGGTCTTTCCATGTTGCCCAGGCTGGTCTCGAACTCCTGGGCCCAGACAATCCTTTCGCCTCCATCTCCCAAAGTGCTGGAATTACAGGTATGAGCCACCACGCCCAGTCCAGCCCATCCTTGCTTTTTATTAAAGAAATATAAAATGAAATACCACAAGGATAGCAAAAATGAAAAAATCATTTATCAGTGCTGATGAGGCTCTGGAAAGAGTGCAGAAAAGGGAAGCAGAGAGTAAGTTTTGAAGAGTTTGAAGTAGCTCAGTGTAACTAGAGTTCTAGGCTTGTGTGTAAAAGAGTGAGGTGTTCGTGCCTGCAAGATTGCTTTATGAGAAAACCAGATGAGGCAGGGAGAGCAGGTGGAAGGTTGTTGTAGTTACGCAGGTGAGATGGTAAGAACTTAAAATGTGTTTGTGACTGAGACCTGAGAGAAGAGGGTCGATTTGAGAAAGATTTAGGAGAATTAGCTGGGCATAGTAGCTTACATCTGTAATCCCAGAACTTTGGGAGGCAGAGGCAAGAGGATTGTCTGAACTCTGGGGTTTGAGACCATCCTGAGCAATATGGCGAGACTTCGTCTCTATAATTAAAAAAAAAAAAATCATCTGGGTGTGGTGGTACGTGCCTGTGGTTCCAGCTACTTGGAAGACTGAGGTGGAAGGATTGCCTGAGCCCAGCGGGTCAAGGCTGTGATGGCCGTGAGCATGCTGCTTGCACTCCAGCATGGGTGACAGAGTGAGACTCTGACTAAAAAAAAAAAAAAAAAAAAAGATTTAGGAGAATTAACAGGCCTTAGGGACTGATTTGTTCTAGGGGGTGAGAGGAAAGCAGTAGTTCTCAATATTTAGCAAGCATCAGGATCAGCTGGGGGGCTTGTTAAAATATAGATTGCTGCACCCTACCCTCCAGTTTCCAATTCAGTAGATGTAGAGTTGGACCTAAGAATTTGCATTTCTAGCAAGTTCCCAGGCGATGGTGAGGTTGCTGGCTCCGAGACCTCACTGAGATCCACTGAAGTAGATGATAACTTCTGAGTCTCTTCGTTCTCCTGCACATTTTATTAAATCCACTCATTTAGTGTGAAGTGCTGTTGTACCTTGCCATTCTGTATTGGTCTACAGATTCTGCTTCTTAATGTAAAGTACCTACAATCGTTCTTGTGGATGGACAGCTTTAAATAATAATAATAATTGCATGTGACCAGTACTATTTGAAGCACGTTATATATACTAGTTACTCTTCATAACAATCCTTTAAATTAGGTACTGTTACTCCCAGTTTACAGATGAGGAGGCTGAGGTACCAAGATACTAAATAATTTGCCCAAGATCACAGCTAAAAAGTGCCAGAACTAGGATCCAAACCCAGGCAGTCTGGCTTCAAATCTATGTTTAATCATTCTGTTCTGAAAAAAGTTTACATTAAAATACTTTTTTTTTTGTTACGCATGGATTTACAATGTACTTCTTACTGACAGAAAGCTCTGTATTGGCTGAGTTTTGAAAGTACACAGTGAGGGAGTCATTATTGCACTGACCTTTGCTACACCTGTTGTGTGCTGAGCCAGCAACAGAAAGGACTAATATGGCAGCTTTTCCATTACTGGTGCAGTAGATAGACATTTCCTTACATTTCATTTTACCATGTTGCTTACTGAGGATTACCATAGGAGCGCTGGAACACCCAGAGGAGGGGGAGAATAGTCCTAGCTGAGGGACTGGAAATGCTTCCCAGAGGAGGTGTCCCCAGGACACCGTATTCCATTCTTCACTCACACTAGTAAAAGCATACATGTGACTGCTGAAATTTTTCTTAAAGCACAGCACTCACAAGGCCACAGTCTTTGGTGTTAGGGCTCTGCTGACTGGGAAGGGCCAACAGGCAGTCTCTTAGGAGGCTTCGTTTCCATGGCATTCATTGCTTTAGTGAATTTAGCCCGGTTCAAGGTCTGATCTTCAAGTTTAGAAACCTGATTTTCATCAATAAAACAAGAGACAAGCTCTCATTAAGCATGTTCAGAGGGACTGATATAGAGACCTAGTAAAAATAAAGTTGCCACAGGACGTTGGAGTGCCTGCAGTTGGTTGACTGCGACTCCCTGTCCCTTGGTGCTTGGATGCTTTCTGCCTCCGAGGTGCCTCTGGATCTCTGCAGCCAGGGCTGCCTGGGTACCTCTGATGGACATGTTTTGTAGATTAATATGTTTAATCAGGTTACAGTCTGGTTTGGCTGGTTGGGTAGCTATCATCTCTCTTTGGAGTGACTTTGAATATCTTTGCTTTGATCTACTGTATGTAAATTTTTCAGTATGTTAATGAACATCACTTTTAAAAATCATGAAATAGAATTTGTTGCTGGATATGTGTTGGGTTACAAGATAAAATGTTGGAAAGCTACTGATTTTTTAAAATTTCTTTTCAAGTAAATGCAGGTCCTGATGTTAATATATGCAGGTGAATGGTGTAGAAGATTGTCTCATGAGGAGGAGGGGTCTTTCTATAGAAAGACCTTACCCATTTTTCTTGCCCACCCCACTAGGTGTATGGAATGTGTTCAGCTGCCCAAGACCTAAGGACTGAGTTTTAGCCTCCCTCTGCTTTTTTTTCCCCCCTCTGGAGTCAGAACTTGAAAGGACTGAGTTATTTGTGAGGAAGGGAAGTAGGGAAAAGTAACTGACACAGAGAATCTTCTCTGAACCTGGCACTGGGGCTCTTAACATATATTATTTAATCCTCACAATATGAGGGGGACCCAAAAAAACTGGAATTATCTTTTGGAGGGTGGGCTCCTTGTAGTACACTCGGAATTTGTTCCTGTGGATCAGTCAACCAAGTGTTTATCTGGAAGTTTAGAGAAGGTAGTGTCACGATTTGAAGAAGAAATGTCTGGAGTTGTGGCAAATAGGAGACTAGTTCGTCTACCATGACAACACACCTGCCCACACCACGCTGAATGGTCAGCGGTTTTTGACCTAGACTGGCATGACCCCCGTGCCCCACCCTCCCCTTGCACATGATTTTGCCCTAAGTGACTTTGTTTCGCCAGATGATAATCCTCAAAGGGAAACATTTTGCCAATGTGGAAGAAGTGAAACAAAAAACGGCAGAAGGACTAAAAAGGCATCAAATTTGACAAGTTTAAAAACGACTTTGCACAGTGGAAAAAGCATCTCAGGCCAGGCACTGTGGCTCAAGCATTTTTGG